AAGCACTAATATCCAAAAAATCTATATCACTATCTTTAGTTATTACCAAGATCATATATAACGTCTAGCCTCTTTTGCCAAAAAATTCTTGCTTTGTTTCCCGTACCGTTTTTGGAAGAATTCGCATATTATAATCTGCAATCATAATTGCACTATCTGAATCAAGACTTACTAATGATGCCTTATATTGTTCGTTTAGATAATACTTTCAAGCATGATGCACGAGGAAGTATTTCAATTTTTCATACATTTCTAATAATTGAGAATTATACTCATTATTACTATATTTTTTTAGGAAATCAAAAAAGTTACACAGTTCCGAACACTTTTGACAACACAAAAAATGTGGGCTTAAACATTCTCCAAATGCGAATGGCAAACAATGATCAATGCAATTATTATAAAGTGGTTTTCCATTCAATTCGACTCTCAAATGATGTTCGAAATTTCTTTTGAGATGGTGACGTAAGTTTTCAATTCGTGATATTACGGGGTCCTTTATAATTTATTTTATTTTATTATGCAATATATACATATAATATTATGAAACTTAGTCACACTATTTAGAACAAATGACAGCTAATATATGAGTACCGTCAAGGGAAAACTCACATTCTGGCTTTCAGTCTGTACTAAATTCGATAAAATTTTTTTATTCGAGAATTCAAATAAAAAAATTTTATCGAATTTAGTACAGTAGTTATCAAGATAATTTCGATCAAAGTTTCAGACACAAATATAATTGAAAACCAGAACGTGGGTTTTCCCTTAACGATACTGATATGCTCTTATGCAATATGATTAACCATTTGTTCTAAACAAAATATTTATTATTATATGATTTACTTAATTGCATATGACTTACTAAAGTTTCTTTTGTTGTAAATATTTGCCGTGCAAGAGCTAATAAATCTTCAAATACTTCAAAACCATACTCATTACAAATGATACATAATCCTCCCAAATTGTCGCGATATCAGATGTGACTACAATTAGCTAATCTGGTCATAAAGGAGGTTCGTCGCATCCCATTCAGATATGTTTCATTAAATTTTGTCCACAAGGATTCCTTTTGATCTTGCATATATAAAATAGGAATTTCAGTTTTGGCATCGACTTGATAAGAACTTTGGGCAACATTATTTTTATCTTGAAAGAATGCTAAAAATTGCTTTTCTTTGATTTCAGACATTTTATGAACCGATTTTTTTGGACCTTCAACTTTTGGTGCACCAGGTACGTATAATTGAAAATATTTACGTGCCTATTCTACCGCATGTGGACTAATCTAATAGTAGTATCAAGAGTTTTCAGAATTAAAATTGCCTTTAGCAAACTAGTGATATATTTATTTTAAAACAAGTAAGCTATCAATTTCAAAAATAAATATCACAAAATAATATTTTCAAACATATAATTTACTTAGAAATTTCTTATTATTTTTGTTATAGGTTAAAATGATCAAATGAATATATGAATTCGGATATATGTATGTGCTAATACAAAATCTACAAATTGTATTTTGCTTTAATTCAAAGCTATGCTAATTTTTTTCTAACTACTATAAAATTTCTAATAGTCAATAGCTAAGTCTCTTTCCAATAACCAAATTTGTTTTATTATTATTATTATTATTTTTTTTTATTTATTTATTTTTTTTATTTGATTTTATCTTTTTATTTATGATTTTTTTTTTGTGCTTTTGAACAGGTTAGTAATATCAGATCAAATTCTAAAAACAATATTTTGCCCGAAACTCTTCGTAGTAAGAAATTTTGTTAGTAATTTTCATTTCAAATTTTTGAACTAATCTGTAATTTTTTTTGAAGCTTCATATAAGTAAATTGGTCTGCTATAATAGATAGAATTCGCGTTTTTCCATTCTGACTGCATTTATTAGACATTAGAGCACTTTGAAAACTATTCCAGAAAATGCTTTTCTCAAAATCCTCCGAACTTTCTAAATCCTCCGAACTTTCTAAATTCTCTGAATCCTCTAAATCTTCAGGTTCAAGTTGTAGGTATCCAAGTTTATATAATATTCTTAGATTAGCTTTATCAGTAGTTGGGTCTTTTGATTTACTCCAAAATTCATTTTTATATTTAGATTTGGGGTATGGTGTTATATCAGTACATCCACATGCGCGTAACATTGCTCTCCAAGCTTGAAATTCATTATCATTCAACTTATAAGTAGTCGGATATATTATAGCAAGTGCATAATGGAACTCTATTATTGAATTTTCTTGACGCATCCAATTATTAAACAAAATTTGCCAGTTTACTAATAGACTAGTTGCTATTTTTCGTCTTTTTATTTGTTGTTCGAATATTTTTTCATGATATAAGGATCATCCCAGTTTTTTGAAGTGCATGTTTCATTAGAATTTGTTTGAACTATATTTTGAACAACAGAGTGATTAAAACCAAAAAGTGTTTTGCCATCAAGATGCATTGTAATTCCGGCTTGGGCCCATACACTATTAGCAAATTGATCTTCAAAGTGCCACAATATTTGTTCACCTTTATAGAAATCCAAAGTAAAGACATTATTATTTATTTTTTGTAATGCAAGGGTTTTTTGACCTTTTTTTGTTGATATCGACGACGTAAATTTTGATCTTCAATCTCTGATACTACTACAACTTGATTCCCTATATTTAAAAAAATAGGCCTAAATGCTACTCCAACTAACAATTTTTCGACTATTTCTTCATTATTAAACCCGAGAACGGCAGGTCCTGAATATGCAGTTCTCTTTCCAAAAATTACGTGATATACGTTATTAATAGCCTGAGAAGGTGTTAAACAAACTTGACTCGTTTTACTACCACTAACGCAAATAAAGCCAGGTTGCAATTGATTTTCTTCGCCCTGAACTATTCTAATAAAAAATTGTCATTGATTTAGTACAACACTAACATGCATGTGAAGATGATATGGAACAGAAATAGAAATGTTATTAGACGGCCTGGAAGACTACCAATTACGAGCATAAAGGTCATAGTGTAGTTCTGGGCATATTACGCCTTTTGCAAGTAAATAAATAGTTTTGTTAGTCAAGTTTTTCATAGTTTATTGAGCATATAAGGAGTCGTTTTGGCATTTATAACCGTGAATTTATATCTAATAAAATGCGCGTCGTGATTTATTATTTGATGCAGATCATTGGATAACGAATTAGCAATTAATGACTAAAGTGAAACCAAAGAAAAAGTACAATTTCGATAAAACAGCCAAAAGGTGCTGCAAGTATAGAACACCTAATGGAACTTATTCCATAAATAATAAAACCAAAACTATAAATAAAACCTGTACCAAGTGCAAAGAAGGAATACGACGATTTTACCAAAAACAATCAGTAGAAATAATAACTGACGAAGAAGGGAAATTCTCATTTAAATATTTAATATGCTGCTCAACCTGCGCGAAACTACAAAAGCAATCTGTATTCATTAAAGAATCAAAAAGATTGAAGACCTGTTTCAATTGCAGAAATAATTTTAGAAGATACGAACCTGTGAAAAGAATTACTAAATCAGAAACTACTGAAAAATGCTGTCCAAGGTGTAGACACTACAAGAAATTGGAAGAATACTCGAAATTTTCGAAGAAATACAACAAGGATATAGAACTACGACGTTGTAAAAACTGTAACCACAGAGAAACTTTAAATGCACAAAGACAAACTGAAGAGAAATTTCAATTGCAAAAGAAGCTGAAATTTCTAAAAGAAAAAAAACTATTAGAAGAAATTTATAACTTAGAATTTGTAAAATTCACAGTACAACAGTTAAACGAAGAAGATGGAGCAGTTACTACTGTATAACGATCCACAATATGGAATGACATGAAAGTGTACTAGTTGCAACGAATTCTATGAAATGGAACAATATAAAGAAATTGAAAACGACCAAAAAATTTATTATGATAATTGCAATATATGCCGAAAATTAGAATTTTTGTCACAATCCTTAATACAGTCAGGAATTTTAGCAAATTTGGTAATCGATAATTGCACCTTATTTAGTAATGATTAACATTCGGATTATTCTAGACTTCATTTCCAGATTGTTCTACGTATTACAATAATTAACCAATCAAATTGAAAGGCTATATAAATCGACTTCAACTGCTTTCCGCTTTATGACAAACTTTACAGCTTTATAACTATGCTGCAATAAAGGCACGTACGTACGAACGTACGAACACATATAAATCTGGAGTTCTTTGTGGTGGCAGTATAGCAGTATAGTAAGATTGCATGTTAAATTAAATCAACATTACAGCATTACAGTAATTACAGCCTTAAGAGAAGTAAATTCTACGCTTACTTTGTCTTATTTCGTATAAATTAAATCTTTTTGAAATCTGACAGATCACATATTGGACTAACTTACTTTTTTTTTTTTGAGGTAATAGTAAGAGATCATCGTTGTGTTAAGTGGTTTCTTTAGTTTTATTGGTGGTGTGTTGCTATCAAATTTAGTTAGTGGCATTTCATTTGGCGTTCTAAGTTTTTTCTACTTTTCATATTTTAGTACTGTAATAGCTAAACTTGATAATTTACAAATAGATTAAGGAAAAATTTGGGATTATATTATTAAATGGGAAATCATTCAAAATCCTTTTTTACCTTCTAAATGATTCAGTGAACACTTAGCTTTAAAAATTCATTTAAAATTGTCTTTTTTTAATTCGAAAATATCTAATAAAATTCGACTTTGTCAGAAAATTCTTGAACCAAATTTGTGAATGATGTTATGTTAAAATTTACGGCACCAAACAAATCTATTAAAATATTACTTTATCTTTTCGCATTAATTGTTATGATGAATTACTTCATAATTACTTAATTGTAGCAAATATATTAAAACATTAAACGATTAATTAATTATTAATAAATACTACTATATATTAAAATTTATTGCACTTTTAAATAGTAACTATTGATAATACTGTAATAAATAACAATTTTTCAAGAAAAATTATCCTATTAATTATTCTTCGCTAACACTAATGTTATTTTCAGCTAATATATTTTTGACTTCTTGAAAAGTATTTACTAATTCTTCACAGGACTTATTTGATAAACCACGAAAGTACAATCGATCTAAATCACCTAAAGAAGGAATTAAAGAGGTAATAATAGATAAAATTTCTAATTTTTTTAAAGAGCCTTCGCTTTTTTGAAGTTCTGCCTCATCACATGTTATGGAAATTGGACACCAAATGCCTAAAGGTGTTTTTTTAATTAATGTTGCTTTAATAAATTCATTTCTTTTCGTACTCACGATTTCACTAAATCTTATCATTTGTTCACTTAATGTCAATTCTCTACCTAGATTTTAAAAAATACGATTATCAGCATTTGGATTTATAAATTGAGCCTTTCTTATCTGAACCCGGAATTGACATGATTTAGCAGTAAAACTGGGACGTGTACGAGGCCCATTGGCTTCACTTTCGGAGTATCCTATTATATTAAAAATATTAGTACGCAATTTTGAAAAATTAGTACAATTACGTGTCGCAATATCCTAATGCCGTTGTGAAGGTATTGGAGGAATTAATGATTTCAATGATTTGTTAATTTCTTCAAGTATTGCATCATGGCCTTGATGTTGGTTTGAAAGTTTGGATCGCGAAGTAACAACCCTTTCTTGGATTAAATTTCGAATTTCAGGCCTTAATTGTAGCATTTGTTCTTTATCAGCAATTTTGATTAATTGATAGATTGGATGCCGTCGAGCAGACCAAATAGGTGCAAACATTCGCCTAGCTGCAAACTTTAGTGAAGGCCTATTAAAATGAACACTGGTACGAAAGTTAATAATTGCTTGCAAATAAATAAAAGTTTGTTCATACTTTAACCTAAACATATAATCAGTCTGATTTTGAGCCCATTTTAAAAATTCTTCAACAGAAGGATTTTCTTCAGAAATAACATATGGCCACATTAACTCGGATGCCATTGCGTGTCTATATATATTACATATAGAATCCCACAACTTATGATGATCAGAGCATTTTTTGAAAAACTGGAGTTGGTTGTCAGTTTGATATCCTTGGCACTTAGCAAACTCTTTTAAATCAATATCCCAATTTAATTCAATGAGTGCCTTTAACATATTCATTTCTTCATAAAGGGCACCCGGAATTAATATAAGCCAAGAAAAATCTTTTTTCATTTTTTGTATGTGATGATATGGTACTTCATTACAGGTAACTACAACCCATTTACAGCTACCATTTTTAACTCCAGATATTTCTTCAATATGCTCAAGAACTTTTCTAACATTAGTAACTGAGTTTGGATTAATTCCTATTGGATCAGGAACAAATATTTGTGGCTCATGGACTTCACTTTCTAGAATTGATCGTTGTTTAAATATATAAGGAGGAATAGGTGATTTTTCAGCGGCATTTACGATCTTAGATTGTTTGTCAACTATCTCAGCAAGCGTTGGTAATTTATTTTTGCATTTAGGACAAACTCGTTTCTTATTATCGATATTAGAGATTTGGCAAACTAGACATTTTTTCGTATGTTCTATTTGACTTTGCTGATGAACCAATTCGTCGATTATATTCGTTTCTTGATTTTTCTCAATGCAAAGCTCACCTAAAATAGTTGAAAGATAATTAGTAAGTTCCTCATTAATTTTATCACTCATACCTGATGATAAATAAAATAACTCTTCATATTGTTTTGGGTCAAGTTCCGTATATAGCCAAGGATTTTTACTTTGAATATCATTACTCTGGCTATAGCTAAATGCAACGAAACTCATAACCGTGTGGAATATAACTGTATTATTCCCACGATTCAAATAGTTTTTTTGACCTTTCTGTTCGTTGTCAAAGGCCAAAAACAAAAAACCCTCAGAAAGCTGTAGTTGTTCTCCAAATAAACTTTCTAACCAATTATTGAACTTCGTATAACTACCAGAGCTAATAATATGGTTATCAATATCAATGATTATTTTTGATCTTGCTAACGAATACTTAACTGCCGAAATTGCCAAATTAATAGCCGATACATATCTTAAATGCCTTGACCCATATATAGCATCAACTGCCACTGCACACTTGAAAAGCTTTTCCTCTCCATGCTGATGTTCATTCTCATTATGCATAAGAGTTTCTATAAACTTGACGATGACCAGATTCCACTTAGCAAGCCACTTGGAAGGAGAATACTCCAAAAGACTACCTAAAGAAAACTATTCTTGATTCTTTATTAAATTCATTACATCTTCACACAAATTACTTCGTTCTTTTTTGGCAATCTCTATTATAAAATAAATGCGATCTTCTTGGTTAGTAAATCTTTCGCTTAGCTTTTTTTTTAATGTTTCATTTTCACTTAATAATTGCTTATTATTTTTTTCTAACTCATCAATTCTTCTTTGAAAAATTTCACACATTGGATCTGAAAAGAATACTTGGGATTCAAAATCGACACAAGCTTTTTCAAACAAATCTACTTGAATGCCAAAATCGGTGAAAGTCTTTTCAGGAACTTGCGGCTCAACGTCATCAATAGAAAACTTCAATTTTTTTTTCTCTGGTTCTTCTAATTATAAAAGAATTGGATCAGTTTTTTTCTTTAATTGATCAATAAAAGATTTTTTAGCAACGATCCGGTTATAATACCCTTCACATAAAGAATAACTCTCCATAGAGACAAGATATTGAGTTAATTCAGAAAAATACTTAGCCATTTCTGTTATTCTTTTTGTTGCTGCAGCGGCAGATGCATTTTGCAACTTTCCAATTCTACATATTTCTATATGTTTTAGCAAGTCACTATCTTTGTGTTCTTTAGCAAAAAAAGCGAAAAAGCAGGGCAGATCTTTGGCTTCAGAGTTCAAATTCATGGTTGATCAATCTACGAACTATAAAATTTAAACTTTGAATTTGTGAAAAAACTAATTTGTTAAGTTTCAGGGATCCCCGGGGATTCTTAAAGTACGTGCTTGAAAATATATATATCGATAACTAGTTTCGACTTTTGTTACGTATTGGTTACATATTAGATCGATGAAATACCATGCCTTTTTTTATAAGAAGGCCAATTATATTTCGGGATGATCGTAGACTATTCTAGAAATGATCTACAAATTTTCAATAATCCCCGACTATAATACACCATTTAGAATTACCAAAACGAAGAATCATACAAACCGCACCATTTAGATATCACCCAGAAAAAGGATATCAGATAGAATTATCTAAAAGAATTAATCCAAAGAAAGTTTTTTGGAACCATTATCAAAGATATGGAGGAAAAGGAGAATTGGACAAGAACGGAAAACTATGCAAAAGTGATGAATATATGGCAATAAGAGAAGGCTTGGAAGAAGCCAATATCTTAATGGAAAAAGAATTACTTATCAAAATATGGACCAAATTTAAACCAAGCTCACAAGAATGGGTAGCAGAAAAATACTGCTCACCAACAGAAGCTAAATATAAGATATAAAGAACTGTATTTATTTATCTATATAACATATTCCAAAAATTGAAACAATGTGAACCAGAAGAGGCAACACCATGGGAATGGTATACTTACGATGAAGTAAAGGAACTAACCCTCATACCAATGATCAAACAACCACTAGAATTAATATTCGACGGAATACACCAATATTTTGTTAAAATGAAAGAAGTACAACAAGAAGAACAACTTGCTGATGATTATATAAACTATGAAGCTAAGTACCTCTACGAAGAAATAGAAAGTTTAGCAGATGAAAATGAAATTCAAGAAAAACTACCAATAATGACAGACTATGAATTTACTACTTATTATAAACAAGTAGAAAACCACACCAAGAATTGAGATTCTACAAATGAAAAATACAAAAAACACCTTGAATACGAAAAGGGCCAGATACAGAATAGAATCAATAGAGTCAATAGACTCCTGAACAGCCACTATAATTACAAATATTTAGCAGCATTCTGACCCCAGGATAGAATGCGCATCTAAGATATTAAAGAAAAATCTGACACTCAAGAAAATATCAGATTCCGGACTAATAAAACTATTAAAAGATCAAGACTTTGTTTACTCACTTATGAAACCTAAAACAAAGAAGGAACAATACCAATTAAAGATTCAGCAGATTAAAGATAATTTACAATATGACCAAAATATTGAATTGTTTAGAACAATTGACCAAATATTTATTGAGCATCCAAACATACCATTAATATGACCAGCGTTACAGATTTATAGCAAAATTGCCTTATAAGGAAATTACTGGCAATGTTTGATCCAGACATGTAGATTGATGTGTAAGCCTTTTTAAAGTTTCATGAAGCCATAACAGTCACAAGACATGTCTTTTAACAGGGGGGAAATATCAAACGTCATAAAATCGTTACACAATTGATAAAAATTTTTTTATATTATTTTACAATACTTTTTTGGAAGGCTCACTTGACTTATCTTTTATATGAATATTGAAAATAATTAAACAAACATGAAGCTCTCACCTTGCTTTACAACATATTTTTTGAATCCCTTGAATCTCATGGTTTCGTCTTTTTGTAAATTTCGCAATTTGATTAGTTGACTAATCCCGTAGTGATATTTTGACTGGTCGATACAATGAGTGATCTGTGTAATGAGAATGAAAATCATATCTATATTTGGACGTTTTCTCCTGTTCATGTCCTTTTACAGAGGTCTGAAATAATGTTCATATGACAATTTAGATATCGATCATTTGATTTTCATATAGAAATTTTGCTTTCACAAAAGGTTTTTTCTAAGATAACCTCAAATTTGTGAAACCATTCGACTATTACTTATTAAGACAAAAATATAGTTTAAACATTTCTCTATTAAACTGCAAAGTTTTGATTCTTGATTTTTTCTAGTTCAAAGAGAATCTTCGCTCAAAGTTAGAATACACTAACTCCTATAATACATACTGTATATAGCACTTTGATTTCACAGCAACTATTTCTCTAATGATCTACTTTACTTTCTACTTTATTAATCTGTTAACAAATAAATTTGCAACAGCCGTTTCGTCGATTTGCACCTTTACCAAAGGTAAATAATCAATTAGTCAGAGATTATAAATATAACTCATAAGAACTACTCATTCTATACTTATATACTTTTCTTTTTTTACTGAGTAATGGAACTAAGGCACGCAATGTTGCAGCTTCTCTTCGATTGTAATGGCAAGTTCTTTTTTTGTGCCATGATAAAGAAATATTTGTCAACAAATAGATCCGGTACACAATTAGACTTGTAATAATTCCATACTCTGTTAATACTATTCAGTGGCATGATCAGGCTTGTATAGTGTAATAATTTGATACTCTTCTTTTTGCTACAGTGACAAAGCTAAGCCATACTTGTTTCATTTCTTCAATTGTAATAGTAGATCTGGTAGCACAATTAAGCTTGTAATAATTTGATTTTTTTTTTTTGTTTCAGAAATAGAACTAGGTTTAAACATCACAGCTTCCCTTCAATTGTAACAGGCACGTTTTTCTTTTATTACCGAAATAGGGCAACAAATGAAACTAGTGGTGCGATTAGGCTGTATATTGTAACTTGTTTCATTACTTTAGTATTTTATTGTTTGGTGATTCAAATATTCACATTTTTTATTTTATTGTAACTTTAACACAAACAGGAACTTGCGACTTGATCTGAACATATTTGAAGTGTTTCATTTAATGTGTTGAATATTTTAATTTGATCTGTTATAATGAATCATGGTAATGATATATCGATAAGGCAAAACACAATACTACATATTTGGCATAGTGGTTTATATTTACAAATAGTATTTACAAAAAGTATATATTTTTTATATTCAATATAAAACTTTTACTCTATTATAATAGCATGTATTCTTAGATATTAAAATAAAAAGCTTCAATTGTAAAATTTCAAAATTTATTTAGTTTATTGTACAAATTCTTAATTATATTTGAAAATGCTTCACCTCAATAATCTGTTTTGCTGTAGTAATATCAGAATGTTCAAAATTCTAAATGAACAATTCTTTTAAAATATTCTAAAAATGAAATAAAATAATAACAGTAATAAGCCTATTATACAAAATTGAAACAATAGTAAGAAAATGTAAGTAAAAATGAAATAAAGACAGATTCAATCATTATAGAATTCTAACACCCCTAGTAACATTTCAGACATTTCAGAAATGTTTCACTCTGGCAAATGTTTCGAAATTTGAAAAGCCAAAATATCAGTCAAATTGCAACATAAATCAATTAGCCTATTGTACAAAATTGAAACAATTGTAAGAAAATATAAGTAAAAGCGAAGTAAAGGCAAATTCAATCATTATAATATTTCAGAAATGTTTTGCTCAAAACATCAGTCGAATTGTTGGTTTGCCTATTGTACAAATCAAAACAATAGTAAGTAAATTATGTAAAGTAAAATAAAAATTCATATTGCAACAAAGCCAGATTCTTAACAAATTCAATTATTATCAAATTTTGACATCCCTAGATAACATTTTAGAAATGATTTGCTTCAGTAAATAGTTCAAAATTTAAAAAGCCAAAATATTAGCCGAATTGCAACATGAATCGAGTTTGCCTATTATACAAATTGAAAAAATATTAAGCGAATATATAAACGAATGTATATGAATGAAATAATGTAAGATTCAAAGAAAAAAGATATAAATAGCCTCTTCGTTCAAGGTATTGTTTTTGTAATAATTCCAATTTGATTTCTTGCAAAAAATAATTTAACTACAACTATGAAATAAATTGCATAAGTTTCGTAAAAATAATCAAATAAATGACTGATTTCAAATCTACTTACTTGGAAGAGTGCGATACTTTAGAAGAAAGCTATGAAGAGGCCTTTACAATCAATCTCATTATTCTTGAAAATGCACAAGCCTTATTATATAATGACGAAAATAAAAGTATTAGCTTGGATAAGATTGAATTCGAAAACCTTGATCCCTATGAAGAACTCTTCACCACAATGAATAAAGAAATAGATAAAGAAATAGATATAGAAATTGAAGAAACTTTTATGCAAGTCCAAAATTTGATGCCCTGTGTAATTATAGATATTATTGAAGGTGAGATAAAATGCTGCAACAGCATAACAAACCTACACCGATTGTGGCAAATAGTAGGAACTTGGGAAATAGATGCACATACACTCAAAAATATTCAAAGCAATGGTGCAACAAATCTACTGCAATTGCGACAAGCAACAGCAACATAGAATAAAAACAAACATGCACTTAATCGACTTGGTGTATACTATAATCATTTTTTATTTGACCAGAACCAACTTCATGAGCAAGAAATTAAGAAATTACGTTCAGTTAATAAAAGCATTGTTCATTTTCATATTTGCCTATTCTATAATAATAAAAAATATTTTTTTAGCTGCGGCAACTGCTGCACAACACATTCATGGAATGTCAATGGGTAAAATATTCAAGTACCTTGCATTGGTGCTCTTGAATGTCCTGCATTTTCTGAAGGACATATTACTAAACAAACATCTTCTGGCTATTGTACATGCTACGTCTACTTAAAATGCTTTCAACAAAATAGTGGACACTTGCATGAGAGACCTGGAAGAACTAAAAAATTTCAACTATGTACTAAACTCAGAAAACATCAAGATGATGCTAGTAATGCTCTAAAGCAAATTGGAAAATGAATAATATTAGTAGCAGATTCTGATGATTATAAGCTACAGAAAGACTCTTATTCAAAATATCTCCAGTATTACCTATTTTTAATGAAATAATGGACGAGAAAATAGAAATAGAAAAATACCTGAATAAGTTGGTTGTTAGAGTAGCAATGAAATTAAAAAAATTGAATTAAATAAGTTAATTAGAGAAAGGCCCCATATAATGCTGAATGAGGCTTCGACAATAAGAGAAAAATTAGGGAAAGAAATTTTATATTCACATCCTGAAGTTAAAGAAAATATAAACCAGTTAGAAAACCCAAGCTCATATGAAGAATATTTTAATGCATTACCTAATATTATTTGTACCTTCTTTGAAGCTCTTCTTATAGTATTGCAGCAATACAAACTAAAAACAAATAACAATAAAAGGTGTCAGCACAGACTTCCTCTAAAGTCACTTGATATAAATTAAGTAACAAAAACTACTACTTTATTAACTTCAATACTACTTACTGTTGCTTTTCCTGGTGTAAAAATTTGGCTTTCAACTGTTATATCATCAATATGCCAAAATCCAAAGTTGTTGCCATATTTACGATGAATTCTTCGTTCAGCATCTGGCATTATATACACTAAAAGACATGAAAGACATCTTGAAAAATTAAGGATGCATCATATAGATCCAAGGAACAACCTAATTAAAAGACAAAATATATGAAATCTGGCAGTAATTGATAATATCGATTTTAAAGCCTCTACATTTTCATATGCCAATATTTTCGATATTATATGACAGACTTTACATGCAACATTATGAATGGTATTCCAGTTTATTTTTCCTACCTCACTTGATCATCTAGTTGAAGATCATGAATCTATTAATCAACCATTATTTGGAGAGTCTTCAGTTACTAACAACCTATTGATAATATATGAAACGATTTTAAATAAAAAGTTAAAAAGCTATATAAATGATTTTGAAATAGAAGATATACATTTTAAAATTACCAAACAAGTACCTTTAGGTTGCAATATTTCACTGCCAAGAATTGTAATATTGAACCCAGTGATCTATCTAATTGCAATGAAAATATTTATGCTGCATGTGAAATGTATCGCAATGATTTACCTCATAGTTGTGATGAATGTCTATATATTGCATGCGATCAGGCAATTTTTGGGAGATTAATTTCCTATAAAGAATTTTACAATGAGGTTCAACTTCTTTTAGGGCAGTGGCACACATCTAAAGATATATGCAGCACTTTAATTACAATATTTTCTGAGTATGGATTATTCAACCTTGTAGCAACTCTTGGAGTACAATACCTAAAGAAGTTTGAAAACATAGTTGATTATCAAGCAACATGTCATGTTTTAGAATTGATCTAGGTAGCAGTTGGGGTTGCATTGTGTCAGCATGTTAAAAAAGAAAATAAATCAATGAGTGATATTTTAGATAGTAATAATTGCATAATAAATAAATAGTACCTTTTCTTCTATTGAATAGAATTTTTATAAGACATAAAATTAGGATTAGAAGAGGAAATTACAAAATGCAAATGGCAAATTTAGCTACATTAGCATCTCATTTTCCTGCAGCTGGAAAGTTTAAATATGCAAGTTTTGTAGCACACTTTTTAGTTCAGATTCATGATAATTTGCATTTACAAAAGTTATTAAAAATAGCATGTTTAGTGAACCTTACAGGTGAAAGGCATTATTTCGCTTTTGACGAAGCACTTAAAACATATACTGTAAAATTCGTCAAACAAAATATAACTGGTAATGTCACCAACCAAAAAATTATGATAAGGCAGTCCAGAGTGAAAAAGATCATCTATCAATACTTCTTTCAGAATATATCGACGACACTGTGATGGGCCAAAATGCTTGTGCAACCAGGTCACACAAAGATTTACTCTGGTCCCTAGTTACAAGTCTGTCATCTTCTTTGACCACCCAAATCCTACAACTCATTATTTGTTTGAAGATGTGCTAGAAATTAATGAAGAGGGTATAAAGAATATTCTTTTTTTTTATGAGACTAGTAAATCGCGTTTTCAAGAGATACTTGCACAAGATGTATACAAAACTGAGCCCTGAACTTCTGGATGTCGTAGTAAAATATAAATTATTATACTTATACTCAGCTTGAAAGTATCAAAAAACAAAAACATACCCGAGTAGAAATTCCTATTCAAGATTCAATCGCTCAGCAAATATTGGCTTTTCTTCTATAACTAATCCTTTCAAACGTTCACATCATGCTACTTCAGTGATAGAAAAAGCAATACTTGCACCACTATTAAGATTTCAGGATACAATATATAAAAACAAATTTCAAAAAGTGTTATCAGAACTTCAAGCTGTCTCTCCAGATTGGCTTGAAAAAAGAGTTAAGCAATATTGGAGGAATAACAAGGACAAGAATGTTTAAAGTAGCATTAAATCATTATTTGTAATAAAAACAAAATTGTAAAGTAATATAACTTGCTTTTATTAAATATAAAATTCAATTATTACACAATTAACTCATTATATTGTCTAGAATTCAAAGATCTATAAAAATTTTTAATTACCATTAATATGTATAAGCATTTTAGATTTAATCAAAAGCATTTTATTTAATTATTATAGACTTTGTAGAAAGAAATAAAGAAAAAATAGACCCAAATTAATGCTCTAATTTATCTTAATAAAAAGTGCCTCTTAGTAAACACCTAAAAGCCACAACTAAAGTGCCCTTGCGGCAATAATAAAAGTTGTAATTTTTCTCGTTTACTATTATTAGTGAAGTAAAGTTAGATATATTTTACAATATTTAAAAGAGAATCTTGACATTTATGTCAAAAAATTGTGATTTTGGGGCCTGATTTAATTTTGCAAAAAAATAAATTACAAAAAAATTTTTGTATAAAATAAGAGCTCAAAGCTCAAAAATAAAACTTTTCTAAAGTCGAAATATTTGTTTGCTATTAAGTAATTGAACTGGTCAAAAAAAAGGTTATAGCAACTTATATTACACAAAAATAATTACTAATAAGATCGTTGGGGAGGACATGTCCCATGATAATATTGACAATCCTTTTTGCTGACAAGACATAATTTCGATATCATTTTTTCAATTATTATTTAATTGATGACAAATTTTCTCAACAAGTAATTTTTAATTATTATTTCTCAGAATATTAAAAACTATAAGCAAATTTATATTTCTCGTTGAGGAAGCAAATTTGTTAGGAAATTTAGTTTGATTGGAAAAAAAATATTCTGAGAAACTTTTATCAGCACACAGGCCTCCAGAAATATGTCTTGTCAGAAAATAAGGATATTATCAGTATTATAAGGTCATAGAAATGATACTTAAGTAATTGTGCATCGAGATTAAACAACAACATATTTTCTATGGACCCAAGGATAGTTTCTCTGTAATAAAATAAAATTTCAATTAATAATGAATTGTGATAAAAATTATATATTATATAATATCATGCATGACTATTTAGATATTTTTAAAATGGTTCAACTACAAATTCACAAAAACAGACACCAAAAGGTCATAATACTGACAATGTTAGTCGGTATTATAGCTGCTTTCATTTATTTTGGGATATTTGGTAAAAAAAATTAACCAAATAATTATCAGTTTGTATGATGCACCTAGATTAATAGGTCGGAACTTGATTTTTGATTAGTGGAAAATAGTTTAACCGATCAAGTAAATGAAAAAAAGGTGTTCTCCAACTATCTTTTTTATCATAGAGTTGTGCTAATTTAATATAATTTTAATATCCAACCTTTAGTGAAATTATCATAAGAATTACATTAATGATACCTGATGAATGACGAAATATTTGTTATTGACGAATGACAAAACCATTCGTCAGGCAATTTCTGATTGACGAATTGACGATTGATGAAACCTCTGACGATTGATGAAATCTATGACGAATTGATGAAACCTATGACGAATTGACGAAACCTATGACGAATTGATGTAACTTATGATGAATTGATAAAACCTATTGAAGAGTTATATTCCATACAAGATAGAGTTAATTACACATTTATGAAAAGTTAAGAAGTGTTTTAATAATGATAATGATAAGAGCTAAAAAAAAATGATATAGGTTGCATAACAATATATACATTTTAACATTAGTATCATTATTATTATTATCCATCATGTTTTTACTTTTTACGAATAACAAATCAAAAAAGGAAATTAAATTTTGTAAACAAACAAACCATGTAAAGATAGAAGCTAGAGTAAGGGTGTTAGTGTTGGAGACTATAATAACAGATTTGTGCTTATTATATGTAAAATTTTGCTCCTGTCATTTTTAATTAGTGCACCAAGGTTGGTCTAAACATAAAGTTTTTAAGTATTTTCGCGTCTCTTCCTTCTTTCGCATCTATGATTCAGAATCAACGAAAATAAACACGTATACAAATTTTGACTATTCCGAATCAACCCAACATAATGAATATTCTGGATCAGCCCGACATAAATGACTATTCCGGATCAACCGACATATATTTGTGCGAAAAAAGAAAAAAGAAAAAAACCAATGAAACCTTATAATGAAATAACATTTTTTTGAAACAATTTAAGGTTTAGTGTATTTAAAGGTCATTGTATAGAAGCTTGTTGTTTAATTACTGACTGAATCAATTGCAAATGCTTCATCAATCATTAGAGATTTCGTCAAGGGTTTTGTCACTACATCATAGATTTCGTCAATTCGTCATATGTTTCGTCAATTCGTCATAAGTTTCATCAATCGTCGGGGTTTCGTCAATCGTCAAGGTTTCGTCATGACGAAACCATGACGACATCATTCGTCATCGCAAAAATCATTTCGTCAGGCATCATTAGATTACATTAATTGTGAACAATTTCAATCATTGGTCAATCACATAGAGATAACTGCTTGAGAACACCCTCAATAAGGTTTGATTCAGCGATATAGAGATAATGATATATATCTTTTCGATTTATTCTGAATGATACTATATCCAAAATTAAGCTTACGCTTGAATGTCAAATAAATTTAATTGGATATTCGGACATAGTCCAAATGTCCAAATAAGTTTTTGCCTTGGACAATGTCCAAAAAAATTATAAGATTAATTGACATATGTCCAATTGTTCAATAACTTTATTGGACAAATTTAGACTTTTTTACTCTTTAATTCCCAATACTAATTAATTAATGAATTTCTATTTAAAAGTGTTGACCTTGGCTATTTGTGTAATTCTTTATAATGCCTTTATCTTAAAAATTGAAAATAAAATCAATTTGTTCTTATTATTATTTCGAAATACAATCATTTTACAGTTTCTAGCATTGTTAATAGTAATTAGATGAAAATGAATTACTATTATCTCAATTATTTAATGATAATAATTATTGTTACTTCAATTCCAGTTTTTTGTCAGAATCATGAACAAAGAACATACCGTGAATTAATAACAGAACGAGTTTTATTCACACCCGAATATAATCGAGTTATTAGCCATGCCGAGTTACCAGTTGTAAAGGATGAGTTATCAATTACGCTAAAGATAAATGGTTTAGAACATTGTCCTGATTCTATATATTGTACTGTTTTTTATAAAGGTATTTACAAATGGCTATTTATTGCATATTAAAAAATTATTATATATGAAAAATTTTTTTATATTTAGGTAAAAACAGAATCCAATCGTACACCTGCACTCTTCTTAAAACTGAGTGACTCAACTCCGTGTCCACGTCTCTTGATTACTGGAAATTTTGATATTGGATTTGATATGGATGGTTATGGATTCCTACTTAACCGATGGTACCATATAGCATACACACTTTCAGACTCTGAAAAACGAGTAGATTTCTATATAGGTGGTAAATGGGTTGGATCTTTCAGTATTAAAAATGTTCAGAATCAATCTATCATATTTAATGATGGCCCATTATACATTGGAAGTCATCTCGTCTGGAATGGATTTACTGGACAAATTAGGTAAAGGTAGAATTTAATCAATCAAATTTACTGATTTTGAATTTAAATAATTGCTTATCTTTTCAATTAGCAATTTTCGTTATTATAATTTTCGTCTATCTCACAATGAAGTATTAATGGATTATTCAGTAAAACAATTTTTTGGTTGACATTTACATATAATTTATGTCAAAAAAATTTCTTACAAATATTTTTAACTTAGGATGAAGATCCAACAAAAAGTATTGATTATAAATGTCCAAATAGATTTTTCGATGATTTAAGTATAGGACTCTTTCTTGGTCTTACAATATTGGCAGGTGGTTTTTTTACAAATATAATCATAAATCGAAGAAGATATCAAACAATCCCTAATGTTATGTAATGAATACACGACATATGAGTCGAAGTTAACTAAAGAATACTTTTTAGATTACCATTCATTAGGTATTAAAAAAACCCCCACTTTATAAAATCTTCAATATAACGATTTATCAGATTTTATTACTAATTATAAGTAATTTAATCTACAATCACAAGAGTATCAAAATTTTCCTTATAACGCTTCCATCATATTTTATGCGTCATTTAATTTGTACCCAGTTTAAAGCTTGGAGCCAGGTTTATTTTTATATACTAAAGCCGGTTTAATCGTTTTTAACATATAAAAAATAAAACTAGTCCAAACTCTAGCCTAGCTATTATCAAATTTCGAATATGTAGTAATTATATTTTTTCATACTATATATGATTGTTTAGATATATTTAAAATAAACTGTGGAAATAAGCACAGGCAGAAATAGCGATAAAATAGTTATTCCCGTTAATATGAAATTGTAGGTAGATAGATCTGTGCATATTTTCCATAATTTGAAGTAGTCATTCAGACCTATAACTTCAAACTTATGATTAACTAGAAGGAAATTGTTACGTGGGTAGTGAATTCTATATTTTTATATCAGGCAGAAATAATTATTTAAAGGAATAATTCATCTAATCAAAGATTTAAACTTTTCTGAAAGACGAATTTGTGCGGATTTAAAAATACTTGTTTATAACATTTAAAAACCAAGATATTTTAAGTAATAACTTTATGAACATTATAGATTAATGTAATTAACAATATTTATTCAGTAGAAGTGGATGTTCTGGTATTCACAATACACTCAGCTAATGAAACAATATCATTAAAAAGATAAAATGGTATCAATATGTTTGATCTTGGCATTGCAAATTAACCTTTTAATCGTTTTTTTTTTTTTTTTTTTTTTTTTTAGATAAGCTATTTACTGAAATTTTATTCTTAAATGGCAATGAAATAAATAAACGAAATCTTGACACAAATATAAAAGAACTTGTTTAATATTTGAGCTATGCTAAGCTATTTACAGTATGTAAATGGTAAATGATAAAACCACCTGTAAAGTGTTGAGACAGCGAAATACTGACTAACTAAAAATATAGCTAAAAGATAAATTCTTTATAACATACCAAAGTTAATTATGTATTGAAGTAAAAATTAATAATATATTATCACGATCATGAAATCCAAAATGCTAATTTTTACTTAAAAATAAAAATATAAATAAAACTAAAAAAAGATCAAAAATCTGTATAAAAGATCACATTTAGAACATAAAAAAAGTTTTTAAAGTAATATTACAATATAAACTACTGTATCTGTATACAGTGTAACTATATTAATCATATCCTGAGATTTTTGCTAGCTTTGCTGGGAAGAATTGATGTTCGAATAACTTCATGTGATAATTAACCAGGTAGATTTATATAATAAAAAAATGCTTTAGAATCGTCTGCAAAAAGCATTCGAATTTCAAACGTTCCATATTTTTTTTTTGTTATTATCTTTTAATCTTTTTTTTTTTTATTGAAAACGAATATTTATAATTTATAAAGATCAAAACTCTTAGTACACTTAATTTATATAGAATTTTGTTAATAAATCATATTTTCCTTTATTTCATTTGCATGTATTTGTAAATTTTAATGCCTCTCGCAGAACGTTTGCAATTCGGTTTTTTATAAATTTATTCGGAAAAGTCCAAAATATGATTTAATTTACTAACACAAAACCTCCATGTTTTTGCCTAATTACTATAGAAACAGGTGATTTATCGTTTCTTGAAATACTTAGAGTTTTATTATTGGTTGGTAACTGATAAGGACGGATTCGGATGCCAGTTTTCAATTTAAAAAAATAAGCATTTAACATACTTTTGGTCTATAAATAAGTACGTAGATATCATAGGCTTTAATATGTAATTTAGATATAAAACAAAAAGGGCTTTCTTAAAAAAAATTTGGTTTGCTAAATTGTTTGACGTATTATATTCCTTAATTTAAATAAATCTTTTATAAAATTAAAATTTCAAATAAATAAATAAATAAATAAATAATAAAAAACAAATAAAAATAAAACAAATAAAAATAAAAAAGATTCTAAAAGATTCTTAGCATTCAAGAACAGACCACTTACAAGAATAATAATCCAAAATTTATAAATTAAGATATAAGAAAACATTTATATCCAATATAATTATAATTAGATATTATAGAAATTTTTTATATCTAAGCAAAATTATTAAATTTCACCTTCTTAAATGCATGCTACATAGACACATATTTTATACAATTTAATTTAAATATAAATTTGAGAATTTGTTCGAGATCTCAATTGTGCTCATAGGTTTACTAATATATACTGAAAATTTATTCGTGTCATAAATCTTGCTTGTATATACGTCTTGTGCATGAATTTGATTTATTGGATCTGGTTTAATCTTATTAGCTTCCAAAATTTGGTTTTTGATTTCATTATCGTCATCCTGATCCATTTGAACTAACCATTGAGTGATTATTTCAATAATTTTTGTTGCAGTAGGTCGTTTATCAGGTTCTTTATCCATAAAGCTCATAACAATCTGGTCCTATACATTTAGGCCTTGATCCATTGATAATTCTTGATCCAAGATAATCATCAAATAGAATTCCATCAAATGTTCTTTGTCCGGTCGAAATTTCTGTCATAATAACTCCGATGCTTGAGTATACGTTTGACCCACTAAAACCTCAGGTGCTATATACGGCAGAATCCCACAAACTTTTCCTTCCTTTACTTTTCCACAAAATCCAAGATCAGTAATATATGCACTATGCAAATATCCTTGTAAAATATTTCCGCTGTGTAAATCTCTGTGAACGAGTTTCTGTGAATGAATTGACTCGAGATCTGATGCTATACCGTGTAGGAGATTCAATCTATCATTCCATTCCAATTGTGATACTTGTGTAAGATTTTGTCGTAACGAACCTTTTACTGCAAGCCTCATAACAATAATATAATCACCATAATTATTTCTTGATGCTCCAACACATTCCAAGAACGAAGGATTTTTGTAACTAACTTCACAATAAGTCTTTAATTATTGACTAAATACTTGCTTATTTATGTTTGAATCATGAACCACTTTAAGTGCAACATTCCACCACGTACCATTAATTCTATCTAACCAACGTGCCCAATATACAGTTGCAAAACCTCCTTTCCCCCATTCTTTGATTTCTCTGAACTCATCATAATCAATCCAAGATAATTTAAACCTTTCATCGTCTAATATTCTCTTAAGTTCAGGACTGATCTGATCTGGTGATTTATTAGTTTCCAAAAGGCTCTTATATTTTGTGAACCAATAATTTGTCTTTTGAATGTCTCTCTTTGCACCAACACCATTACGATAATTTAGAGCAACATTTAGAATTGACGCTTTATTACCCATATTAGCAGCTTTTTCAATGTATTCAAATGCTTTATTATAATCTTTATCAACCCCTAATCACTCTTGATAATAAACACCAAGACTACCTATTCCGAAAGCATTATCCAAATCAGCAGATTTCTTACAATATTCAAATGCTTTCTGGTAATTTCTTCTACCCCAATTCCATAATCATAACAATTACCTACACTACACATCGCATTCGAATTTCCTAACTTAGCTGCTCTCATATAATATTCAAAAGCTTTCTTTTCGTCTTTCTTAACATCATTACCATATTGATAATTTTGACCGAGATTAAAAAGTTGTTCGGAATCCATTTTTTTAAAAACGAGGAAAAAAAATCATGCTCTAAATAAAAGCAAACTTTAATTGTCCGGAGCGTAGCAGAGGACATTTAATGTTAAATTAGAGTAACACTAAAGATAAAAAAAGTAAGTTATGTATATTTATATTTTAGTGTAATAAAACCAAATCAGGATTTTGAGCAACAGTAACGTTATTTTCTAAAATTTTACAGCATATCGCTAATCTTTACCGATGGTTTTGTTCAAAGAACATATAATAAGAGAACAAATCGATGTCATGCTTTAAAAAAGGTTAGAACCTAATACAACTAAAATTCTCTAGAGAAGCTTTGTAAATTCAATTGCTGATGTAAATTTCAAGGGATCCTTGTTGTACAGGTATAAAGGAAGTTATTGCTGAAATAGGGAAAATTTTGCAGGCCAGCAAGTAGATTAGAATCATTTGGTACATTACAAAGTTGTTTTTACGTAGAGTTATGTAAATATTTTATGTATATTTTATTTAAAAATTCTACATAGATCTATAAACCCAATGTAGACTTACATAGATATAATTTCTATGTATATTTAGAATTATAGATAATATTTATTTAATAGTTATCTAAATTTAATAGATATAACAATTATATATATTTTATTTATATATTTATATAGAATTATGAATAATATTTATTTAAAATTTATTTAAATTTAATAAATATAGCGTTACATGAATTTTATTTACATAATTGTATAGAATTATAATTAATGTTTATTTGATATTTATTTAAAGTTTAACAAATGCCATATTTATATAAAATTTGTTATACAATTATATAGAAATTTTATTTAATATATATATATGTAAAAATATAAATAAACTTTATTTAAATTCAATAAAACAAGATTACATAAAATAGATTTGCAATTATATAAATTTTAAATAATATTTCTTCAAATGCACAGTATTAATGCAAATATTAAAAAATTCAATTCTATAGCAGCAACATTCATTCATCACCAGATGAACTTGACTCATTATTTTCTTGATCATCTTCGCCATGATTATGCTATAAATTAGAATAATATAATTTTAGCAATACTTATTGTTATAATACATTGTGTAAACATTCACAGAACTATAAATTCAAATATATATTTACCAAGAAGGAACTCAGTTTTCGTGTAAGATATCTTTCATCAAATTTAATCTTGTCAATTTCAGGATTAAATAAATTGTGCAATATAGCTCGTGTTACCACATATTGATTTTTTGTAGGTTTTCGACCAAATACTTTCTTGGCTACCATCTGAAGATATGTTTTGTCGTCTTCTTCAATTATACTATCCAAATTTTCAAAACACCATTGAACTTCTTCACTCACTTTCCAAGAAGTTATCTCAGATTTTGAACTTTCAGAATTAACAGTAGGTGAGATTTTCTTTTTAAAAACGTGATCAAATATAGCACATCTAAAAGATTCAAATAAAGCTCCGTGGTATTTACAGGATTCAACACTAATCTATTTTAAAATTTAGATTGAGTAATTCAAAAAAAAAAACCTAATGAATTAGTTACTTATTAAATTTTCAATCTTAATGAACAATGTTTCCCATTTGAAATCTTTCTTATACCAGCCCATTTTATTAGGACAAAGAGCTTCAAGCTCTTTTTGAATTGCCTGTTCATAGATTTTATCATTAGGATAAAGCCAATTATCTATGGCATTTTTGATGCCTTGTACTGTGGCTTTCTAAATTTAAAAATTCCAATAAATAATTTCAAAAAATTAATAGTGCATTTGTTGAATTCTTGTTAACTAAGCTGATATTAATAAAATTTGCTCTATGATTATTAAAAATCTTATTAATAAACATATCACCCACACATCAAATAAAAATACTCGTATAATATAAATTCAAATTTAATATTAATAGCATAGGATCTATTTTTCTTTTCATTTAATTGTATATGTTGATAAAGTTCAGGTTTTCATTATAGCTATTAGACATAACATAATAAAATTGTGAAAAAATAATATTATTGTAATAAATATGATTTTTCAAACAAAATAAATTTTTCCATACTTGGTTTTAACTTCTTATACTAATCGACTATATAAATAGAAAATCGATCCTATGCTTTAAAGTTTTTAGTGTAATTTGAAATATATATTGCATATACCTGCCACTATTCATGTTCAGATTCTTTTATATTTGACTTTAGATTTCATGTTAAGTTTAATATCATTAACTAGTTTAGTAACTGTAGCTTCTAACAATTCTTGCTTTTTCATAATCAAACTAATTTGCTCTAATACTTGTTTAGTCGTTTCTAATATCTGTTTCATTATTTTGCTTTTTTCAATTTCTTCATTAGAAGCTATTTCAATATAAGATCAGTACTTATGATCTTAAATCCATAAATTTGTTACATCTCTAAAATTAACCGTTTTCCTCATCAAACAACAAATTTTCTAATGAATTAGTAAAAAATTCACTGAGTGGAAGTCAAGGTGTCTTTCAGTAGTTTCATGTATATTGTGATTAATATCATCGCCATCAAGGTTTATAGAACTATGTGATGCTTCATTTGTGTTTGTAATGGGTTGAGGAGTAGTTTTCATAGTTTCAGTTGCATTTCGCAGCTTTTTTGTAACTGAATTAGATGATTAGACCTTAAAGCATCTACCACCTAAAAAAAAAGAAAAAAGGTTTAAAAAAATTTTGCCTAAAAATATTTTTAACCATTAAAATTACAAAACTTAATTACCAATGCAACTTCATTTTGCTGAGGGCTTTGTTTTCTTTTTCGACTTTTAGGCATAATAAAAAGAAGTGTTTCTTAAAATATTTAAGATCTAAAGAAATTATAATAATAAATACTTTGAATTTTAAGAGTTTGGTTAAATATTAATTATGTAAAGATTAAATAACAAGCATCATGCATACGTGTAGTGTACAGATTATGCAATATAAAAAACAATACATAGAAACATAAAAATGAAAATCAAGAAAAATACTTGTCATTCAATGCATTTCCATAAAAGATTATATTATCTCGCAAAAATATTTAATTGGATGATATTATGCTTGATACATAGAGATTTTCTGTTTTTTATATACGTACATACATAGTCATTGTGGACTATTAGAATTGATTATTAATCAACACAAATATTAGTAACCTCCAAAGGGTAAAAAAAAACAAATAAACATAGTAAGTAATCATCCATATATCTGTCATCATTAGATTTGTAGTACAAATTGATTATTATATCCATTATATTAGCTATTACGACTTTGGCTATTTATGAGTAGATTGAATAATAATATGTCCATCGGTTATTAAGAGAAAGTATTGAAATTTTTTTTTCTTTTAAAAAAAAAATTAATAAATAAAACTTTTTACTATATTTTTTTTAAAAAAAAACTTCAAGTAATGTGCAAGCATGACAAGCTATATGTGCTTGTCTCTAAGAATTTAGGGCTCGAATTTTTTTATATTTAATAGCGACTTGAAGTTAATGACAATTTATAAAAGTAAAAATATAAGATATATAACAGAGAACAGTTAGTATTTACTTTTAAGATATTTATATAAACAATTTTATGATGTAATTTGTGTAACATACCAGAATATTCGGTCAATTATTATGACTTAATTAGTCACTATTGCCTCTTCTTATATACTAACACAGAATATTCTCTATTAAGATATGTAAGATCGATTACATATTTAATTAAAAGTTAAAATATTCTATATAAAAGTAAATTTTTTTTTTAAAAAAAAAAGCTTTGTAATAAAACAAAAAGCTAATAATAAAAAAAAGGTTAATAGTGCACATTCTCAAGATATCATAATTTATATTGTAGTAAGTTATTATTTAATTAAAATATAAAATAAATATTTATGATTTTATATTAAATTTTTTTTTTTTTTTTTAGATATTATCATGTTCATTTGTAGTGGTTGTGGTGAAAGGTTTGGCCATCTAACAAGCCTTAAAAATTACAAAAAGGTTCACAAAAACCGTTACCAAATCGAAAATGAAACTGACAATAGTACGGATATTTATAATTCTAACAAAAATCATCAACATTTTGATTCTGATGAATTAAATATTATTAGCAGTCAAAATGATGATCTGAAATTTAACAACGAAGAAAGCACTGATAAATCTAACTAGATGTTTGATACCCAAAGTTTTTCTGATAAGTCAAATCTAATATTTAATGATCAGAAAATCATTAATGAATTTAATCCAATATCTGATAGCCAAGAAATTTCTAACACCTATGAATCTGGTGAAATTTTGGAAGGAAATATATTGGAAAATAATATGTTCATTGACAAAGTTAATGAAAGCGACACTAGTGAATATAGCGACAATAGTGAATTAGATGATGCAGTTTTTCCAAGCATTGTATATCAAGATTTTGTAAACATTGTAATTATCAAACAGACTAATTTAATTGAAATTTTGGTTTTTAAATATCTCAAATAACTTCTTTTTAATATTAGGTAATTAGATATAAGCTTCCTTATAAGGCTGGTAATGCTATATTAAAGTTTATAAAAAAACATGGTCAATTTTCAAAAAAAACTTGCCATGATCAACCAAAGATGGACTTCTTTTCTTGGATACATTGAGAAAGAATTGTACTAAGTTCTTTTCAATTTCTGTTGCACAAATTAAAGACTAGATATATTCGTTTGAGCATAGGCTGATTATTTTAGCAGTTAAAGAAATTCTCCAAAGCCAAGAAATTGCAGAAAACTATATTTTCGATTATCAGAAAATTTACATGTTAGTTGAGGCAAGTAAATTCTTAAATAACTATAGCTGTAGATTTTATCATAATATAACTATAATGTTAATACGCCTTTGACTTATTTTTATATGTATCTCTCCCAATTTCAATTGTAATTATGACCAATAAAAATGTCAACACATAGTTCTTAAAAAAATATCAACATGTAGTTCTTAAAAATCTGAACTCATATATAATAAATAAATATAACACTTCGATTATTAATTGTACAATATAATTGAAATTGGGTGAGATACTATATATTTGAATATAAAATACAAATTAAGGATACATTAGTTTTGCCAAACCTGTATATTAATAATTATGCTTTTTAGGGGTGCCAAGAAAGAACATTCTCTGAATTTTATAATTCCAAATGGCGGGGTACACAACTACATATTCCATCTGAAAACAAGGTTCTGGCTATAATCTTATACTCTGATGCGACTACACTGGACTGTTTAGGGAGAGTTCACAGCATCCAATATTTATAAGTTTGGGTAATATCCCAACAGACCTTCAAAATAAAGCTGAGGTAAAGGCACTTGTTGGTATTATGCTGACATTGCAAGGAACAAAAGAAGATTGCCAAACATCACAGTTTAGACAATTAATTCGATCTGTTTTTTACAAATGTATTAACATATTAATTGAGCCATTACGTTTGCAATATCATTTAGGCGTAAGATTAAAGGTTAACAATTATAATTTGAAATGTAATATCATGTTAGCCTCTGCTATTGGGGACTGGCCCAAAAACTGCAAATCATGTTTAACATATAGTGGAACGAGTTGTGTGCGTCCTTGCCACACTTGTCTTGTAGAAAAAGATGACCTAAATGTTATTAATTTGTCAAATAGTCGCAAAATTATTCAAACAGAAATTCAAATGAAACAAGCCATTGAAATGGGACAAGGCAAAGACCACTCATTACATTATGAAATAAATAGTTTTTGGAATCATCTGTAAGTGGTTTGTTATTTACAATTTAAACAATAGCTCTAAAAAATTTATTTAAATATATACTTAATCTCCTATTACTATATTATAGAAACTTTAATATTTATATGGCTACGGTTTCTGAGCAAATGCACCATCTGGATCTTGGGCTCTTTTCTTATATGGTCAAATTCACACGTGATCTTTTGAAAGTTCATGGTAGATGTACTCTTGTTAATAAAATAGATCACAGGCTTGGATTGATACCACGTTATTCAGGCCTAAAAATATTCAATATGGGGCTTGCAGATCTTTCTTTATTTATAGCATCGGAATACAGACACATGATGAAAGTTATGTCTTTGTTTTCAAAGATCTTTTTGAAAAAAAAGAAACCGAATCACTTGTTCAAATGTATGTCAATTGGAATAAAATGTATTTTTATTCAAAAAAATGTAAATTTACTTGGACTGATCTTGTTCAGTTTGAGGTTAGTATATAATCTTATTTATATAATAAATATTTTTTTATTACAATGTGTTAAACAATTGGATCCTCACTATATCAATATTTGTAGTTAAATTTTTTTTTAATAGGCTTCAATTTAAATGTGGGCAAAAAATTTTATAGAAATTCTTAGCCCATTTACAAAAAACAAATGTCGGTATTTAAAGTTTCACCATTGGATACACCATACAATTGAAACGATGGTAACCTAAATGGATTAAGCGCCGAAACATATGAGGCGCTTCATAAGGAGTATATTAAAATTCCTTATAGAATGTCAACATTAATAATTAAATTTTACTAAAGGTTTTATTTATTTGATTCGTACTGCTATTTAACTATTAATTTGTATATATGTATTAATTTAATACTTGTTAGATAATATGAACGATTACAATTAGAGATATTTATAAACACATTGTCTCAGAAAATTACCAATCGAAAATTAAAAACGACACGGGAAAATTTAGAAAAAAATACTGAACTATACCTTTGCGCCTTCTAAAGTCACTTGTTGAATCATACGAGCATGACGAAGAAAGTATTGCTGAAATTCTTGAAGGTTTATGCCATCTTACTTCTGCAATGGATAATTATTTTAAACTTTTACCTTCTATGCTTGGAAAAGATATAGAAAATATGAAGACAATGTTAATTTATTACGAATCCTTTACATTATCTAATTAAGAACAAATAAGAGCTACAAAAGATTATTATAATGCACCGATGTTTAGTGATGTTGCTGTTTTTATGGACTCAGACCAACAAGAATTGAAAACCTATGATGGATATTGCTTCGCAAAGATATATATGATATTTAAAAAAATAAATTCTTTTTATATTATTTTACTCTAATAATTTAAATTAATTTTATAGATTTTATTATTGGTCCGTATTGTGTTAGAAGATACTTCAGCCTTTGACCTTGCACTTATCCATTGGTACGATTTTAAAAATCCAAATATTGCTTCAAAATTTTATAAATATGGGTGCCCTTATTTGTAATTTACAAATATTTACAATATAATTCCTATAAAGTCGATTAATAATGTGGTTCATATTGTTCCACAATTTGATATGATGAATTCATATTATGTTAATACATTCATTTTTAATTACTATAATTTACCGTGCAAGATACCCAGTGTGACAAATAATGTAGATCAATATTTAAAATGCTATTTATACATCATGTGATGTGTAATGCACGTGATTGAATTTTTTTTCAATTGTAAAAAATCGCATCACACCGGGTATTTTGCACGGTAAATTACGGTAATAGCCATTAGTTTATATGTAATTTATATAGATTTCATATAAAATTTATTATTATGTAAGACTTATATTAAAAATATATTTAAAATTTACAAGTATATAAAAATTATGTAATTATAGTATGTAAAATTTATAAATATATAACATTTATATAAAATTTTTTTATAAGATTATGTTTATATAAGTTCAAATTAAATTTTATATAAATTTTATTTAAGTAATATGTAAAAATTAGCGCATATAACTTTTATATAATATTCTATATAATAATTATATAAAGTTGTTGATCTATATAGATGTTATATGAAAATGTATTTCGTGATGTAATAGTTTGCCTGTGATTGTTGCCACTACTTTCATTTTCACTTTAATCATATTTGGTGATAGAACCCGTAACTCTGTCTATCAAAGTTTGTATGGCAATAGAAGGTACAACTAATTTTATTGCATTTAGTAAGTCATTTGGATCTAAGTTAGTATCAACAAATGATAAATCCATCTAATAATAACCAAACATTCAGATACAAAATGATTACCGTAAAATATGAATAATAAGCACAGCATACTTTTTTCAATTTAGCGAAATAGCAATAAAATCTTTAATCAAGTTATTCCCGTTAATCTGAAATTGAAAAGCGGGTAGAAGGTGTTGTGCTTATTTTCCATATTTTATGGCAATGAGAAATTTCTGGCATATTGCCAGACTATTTAATTGATGAATCTGATTTTCTTATTTATGTTGAGGAATAGAAAAGGTAGAAGTTGGAACTATTACACAAGCTGTCTACTTTATGACTTTTGCTCCAATAAAGTCTATGAGACTCTTGCTCCAAAAGCTTTGATTTCTTAATTTCCTCAAGCAGCCTTTACGATTTTTATTCCCGACTTCTTTAGCATATTGAATAACATTATTTATGTTTGAAATTGAACTAAACTGACAATTAAAATAATATAAATAGAGAGCTTGTTTAGCATTTTAGCAAAATAAATAAATTAAATAGCTATGCTAAGTTATTTACAATATGCAAATTGTACAATGAATACACCTGAAAAATCTAGCAAAATGACAAAATTTTTCATAATATGCCAAAATTAGTTATGTATTGAACTAAAAATTAATCGTCAATACATAATATATCATGATTGTGAAAATCCAAAATGTTTAACCTTTACTTTAAAAAAAAGAAATGAAATCATAAATCTGCATAAGAAATCACCATTTGGACATAAAAAGAAATTTCTAAAGTAATTTTACAATATAAGCTACCTGAATATAGTATAATCATAGTAACAAACTTTAAAGCATTATTGTTCATCATGTCCTGAAATTTTTGTTAGCTATGCTGGGAAGAATTAGATGTTCGAATAACTTAATGCGATAATTAAGTAGGTGGGTTTATTAAAAAAAAAAAAGAATTTAGACATTGTCTGCAAAAAGCATTCAAATTACAAAAATTCCATATTATTTTTTTTTTGTCATTATTTATTATTCTTTTTTTTTTTTACCAAGATAACCATAAAAATCGATATTATTAATTTATTATATTGAGTCTTCAAACTCTATAAAGAACCTTTTAGTACACTTAATTTGGTATTTTCATTTGCATATATTTGCAAACTTTAATGCCTCTAACTGAACATTTGCAATTAGCCTTTTGAAAATTTTTTTGAAAAAATCTGAAATATTATTTCAACTTTTACTAACGTAAAACCTATAGATATAAGTATTTTTTATCGTTTCTTGAAATACTCCAGCACTTTATAATTGGTTGGTAGCTATTTTGAGTAGATTTTTGGGAAAATGTGCATTTAACTTATAATTAAGTTCGTAGACATCTTATATTTCCAATATTAATTTATTACCAAGTAATAATTTGGGTTATTAAACAATTTTATAAAAGTTAAAAAGTTAAATTAAGATTTCGAGACAGAATTACAAAAAGAAAAAAAAAGCATACAGAACTGAAAAAA